GCTGGGGGGAAAAAACCACGCATTAGTCATAATGGTCACGTTAATTTAAATGCTACGAATGACTAATTCCAGCAAGTGCTAGATTATTTTATCACTTTATCGAGAATCACTTTCCAATGCCATAGATAAGCTTTTCAGAGAAGACCAATGTGGTAATTTGCGCCGTTTCTCAGTTCTTCAAATCTTTCAAGTATCTTAGAAAGCAGTTAAATCTCTTGGCCCATGAACCCATTGTGGCTGAATCCACAGATTTGACCCTTTTTGTAAGTAAATGTCAAATAGGCATATCAAAAACACAGACAAATTTAAAGCCTTCTAATTGAAAATGCATGAGTTCTCACTACCGTGATGTCATCGACTTTGGACCAATCACAATCCTGTAGATTGTCCATGTAGAACTGGTGATTAATGTGAGGCTTTATGATTTCTCTGCTTCCTTGAACACAGTCTGGTGTGGAAAGCTTGGTGTTGAATGCAGTCCTGGAAGTAAGCTGTCACCACCAACCTAGAAATAAACGACTTAGTGCAAATGTTTGTTGTCCATAACTGCTCTGCAGACACTGCTGGACATTTTTTTTCCTGACATGTTCAGTGGTGCGTAATTCGGTCGCGGTTCCACGAGAGACCCAGTGCCGTCATGGCAGAAGAGCTCCAGAGCGCTTCCGTGGCTTAGCAGTGCATTCTGGGATTCAGCCTACATGGTGACTCATAGCTACTGAGCTGCTTCTCTGAGGTGACGAGCATAGATGTCGTGTCAAGACCGAGGTCCTTCGTGTACGGTGCTCTGGTTTACCTCCGACACAGCGGCAAGAGCAGAAAGTAAAAATAACATCTGCCAGATCCAGAATGTTTCTTTAAGACCCGTGTCCGTCCTTGATGTGGCCATGGGTGTGGGAGGACACTGAAGCGTGGCTGATATTGCTGAAAATTCAACGTGAGAAACCATCGCTGGCCAAGTCACATGACAAGAAGATCAACACCAGGTTCCCTCCATGTTGTGTTAATCTGCACTCTGCTTTGAGGGCAACGGGCTGGCTTCCTGTCCACTGAGAAGAGTCAAGGCAGGAAACAGACTTATGTCTTTTATAGATGCTGAAACCGTGAAGCCTAGTTTGCTATATTGTTGGACTATATAAATTGTTCTAATAATGCATCCATTTTCATATTCGCTTGTCCAGTGCTGGGCTGTGTTTTGCTGGAGCCTACCAAGGTAGTACAAAGATTACCCTGGTTAGGATGCTAGTCCTTTGCAGGGCTCACAAATACAGGACATTGTGGGAAATTTCCACAGACGAATTAGCAAAAACCTGAACAAAATCCTGAACAACACAACAGCTTGCAGGTGTAAGAACCAGGCACAATGATAACCAGCCAAACAGGAAATGAGGATGTCGAACCCACAACTTTGCAGGACGCAGCTCTGCGTAATCAACCATACATGAAGTCATAGGTTTTATCTCATCCAGTATATAAACTGCAGCAAGCAGGTTATTAGTATCAACGCCACATAACCTCAAAATAAGAGGCCTCAGCAGAAATAAAAGCCTTTACTACATCTCTGCCAAGTTTCTCTTTTACACCTAAATCGATTTATGCATTTTATGAATTACGGTAGCTATATTTCCAATATATGTCCGATGTAATGATCACCGATTCTTAAAAATAACATACGAACCAAATGAAGTACATCGACTGTGAAATTTAACTGCAAGTCTGCGTCTTCGCTAATTTAATGCGGCGCCATTAAAATAAGCTAAGATGCCTGTACGGCGCGTGCTAATGGCGCGCGTTGTGTTCGATAAGCGGTTTTAATTGCCATGTATTTAAAAGAATCTGAAATATCGGTTTCCCTTCACTGGCGTTTATTGGTCTTTGCCTCTCGGAGCTGCGGCTCGCAGCCCGGAGCGGAGATCCGGCGCAGGCATCGCATTAAAAACTCGCATCTTTCTGTCACCGAGTCGCTCACAAATAGCCCACCGACGCGTGCATTTTGTAGCCTCTCATATAAACGCGCATCTGTAGAAATTTCAAGAGGATATTATCGGCATCCTCACAGCATATCGATGCGCCCGATGTTTCCGGATTAAATCAGAGAGCTTGAAATTGAGAGGTGACCCAATAGCAAAGAAAACTCACATCAACCATAAGAATAACCGCGAAAGCAAAAAATAATGAAAGTACGTAATTCTTCTGCATATGTGTACGTGTGTATTGTGCGTCATTAATATCATAATGGTCATTTTTTTCCTGTGCATATTGCATTGCATAGTTGTCTGAGCTAGTAGCCAAGCTAAAATTTATGACTATTACCACACATAATTAATATTTAAACACAAGCTCTATCAATATTCATTAGCAGTAAGGCGGCAGAGGATCTCAGTGGGTGGCACTTGCTTCAGGCCCTGGGCATCTGGATCCCACTTCAGCTTTTGAGTTTGCATGTTTTTTTCCTGTTATGTGAGGTTCCCTCTTATGTCCCACCTCTTATGTAATGGCATGCATCTGTCCATCTGTTTTCTGTAACCTAGAGGCTATGACTACGAGATGGGTGACAACCCAGGATGGGGTGCCAACCCATCGCTGGGCATATTCACACACCACTCGCTCACACAGCCACACCTATGGGCAATTTTGGTAACTCCAATTAACCTCTGTATGTTGTTGGGCTGTGGAGGAGGGGGGCAACCAGAGCACTTGAAAGAAGCCTCACAATGACATGGAGAGAACAGGCAACCCCACACATGGAGCTATGGAAGAGACTTGAACCTGGGTTTCAGAGGTGTGGGGCAACAACACAAACCAGTGAACTGGTATCTGTAAATTGCCCATATTGTGTCCTTGTGCCCAGTGTAGCCTGGGTCAGAATATTCATTCTAGGATTCAAAGACTTATTGTCATTCGTACTAGTATGGTACCGTGTACAATGTGACGCTTACTTGCGTGTTTCCTGCAGACAGACACAAGGTAAGAAGACATAGGACAAACACTTAGGTAAAATAAATATTAATATATAAATGTAAATATGATTTAAGAATATATGGATGTATCCTGGGGTGCCGTAAGGGGGGAGGGGGGTATGATGATTCCAAGGGCCCCTGAATGACTGTGGCCCTAAGTAATTTGGAACACAATCTGATTGGTCTGGGTTGGGGGCCCAATATAATATGCTTTCATGAGGCCTGAAATCTTCAGCGGCATCCCTGGATGCATCTATGTAGTCATGCATAGGCAGATGTTGTGTAGATGTTGCTCTTATACTGCTCACATTCATTGGAAGCTCAGCCTAGCTGCACGTACACCTAGCCGGCTCCTCGACAGCTCATGTGCTTGTAATGTGCTATTTGATAAATCCTAATTGATCATTTTTTTATTTGCCATTTGGCCGAGTACAGGTACACTGGAATGCTTCTCTTCACAGACCCCATCTTGTCCTCCATAGCTTGGGGGTCACGTGCGGCGCCCCTGGAGCTGGGGGTTAAGGGCCTCGCTCAAGGGCCCATGGACATGTGACCCTTCTGCCGAGGCTGGGGCTCAATTTGGCGATTTTTCGATAAGGGGCAGAGCGACTTAGCCCACTAAGCCTCTCACTGCCCCCCCCCCCCCCTTGCCTCACTTGTGCACCGCTTTGAACAAAAGCATCTTCTAAATAAAATGTATGTCGGTGTGAGGCCAGGCTGGGGAACAAAGTGGTCGGGGTACAGGAAGGGTGTGTAGATGCAGTGTAGATGCATTGCTGCACCTCGCGATGAAATCTGCAGTCAAATCCAGCCGAGGTGTTTCTTACGGGAAGCGAAGAGAAACAGGAAATCTCTGAATAGCTGGGTCTCGTTTCCCCTCTGAAATCACACTGCTTTACAGTCTTGATGTGGATGACGCCTGTGATGTGTTTACTGAGGCGCTGGATCTCAAAAAAGAATTATTACGGTTGATACTAAAAAGCGTAATTTAAAGGTAAGATGATTTTATTTTTCATTATGAAATAGCTATAATTCAGTAGTTTAAAACCATGGTTTAAAATTCAGAGCTGGCTATAGATTCCTCTTGGTATTTAGTGCCCTACTTGGGTGAGACGGTTTGATTGTAGCTTGGTAAACAAGGGAATGTCTTGGTATTACAGTACATCAAGATGCACGGGCCACGTGAATCAGATATGGGTGATTTTGGTTGAAACTGAAAACCAGTCTACTCCAGTCACTGTGATCTCTGGAGAGGTGCAGGGTCCAAAGCAAGAATCCCACGCACGGATGCGGCACTATCGGGGAGCCGGGAGTGGGAATGGCGTTCCTCCTGCAGTGCCCTGGCATCTCTGCAGTGACGCCTGACTTCTTGCACTTTATTCCTCGACAACCTCCTGGGAGAGGGTTTAGTTTACTAGCGCAGAGCTGAGATGTGGGGGGAGGGGTGGAAGAATGGGAGTGGGATAGAGAGGAGGGATGTGAGTGAGTGCCTTCAGTGGTTGGCGCGGTGGCACTGCTGGTCTTTCATTGTTATTTAATCCTTTGCCTAGGTAATCGATCGATCACGCACACACAAACACGCACTGTTCACTCCACGCCGACTGGCAGTATTTGCTCATGGCTCTCCATTGTCATCCTGACAATTTTGTAGCTTGTGCTTGTGTATAATGGATGCATCAGAGGTTTCAAGCATGCAAATTACCATAGTGGGCTTTGCCGTTGCAATGATGCATATTTTCTCGAGTGGTGGCCGCTTACTGATCAAATGTGTGTCCTAGCTACGTCTGTCGCAGTACCCAGTGATTTCACTTTTAGAGTACCTTGCAGTCCTCACCAGTATGCTCAACACTGAGTTGCATCAATGTGTAAGTGTGGAATCTGAGTAGGTGGGTTGCTTTATGTGTGTAGCCTGTTTCGCAGGTGTTGCATGTAATCCAACACTCTTGTTTCGTTGAGTGAGGGTCTTCCAGGAAATCTCTGTAATTTGCCTTTCAAAACAGAGAAGAGGTTTGGTGACACATTGCTTTGCATCTCTCCATTTAGACGGCGCAATGAAAACCCGAAGAGATCCCCTAGGAGACACGGAGTAAAAACTTGCGGAGGATGGGACCAAGAGGCTGATGAGGGTCCCCTGTTTGTCAGGAGAGGAGCATCGGTACAGCCCCAGTCTTTCCCATTGAATTTGGCTCGCTCCCCGCAGCTAGCTTGCCAGGTAGATCACGTTTGCCTGTCCTCTTTACAATGGGCAGGTTGGCAAAGTTGCAGGGGTCTTGCGACGAGCAGCCAATCCACAATGTCAGGAATAGAGACGTTAGTTTTGTAGCAAATCAACACGCCAAATAAACATGGAGCCAGGCTCGATTTCTGGGTGTCCTATACTGCCCGTGATGGGATACCATGTTTCCATTCCTCCTTGCTCCTGAGGATGAACTGACGATTTAATCTGCCTCAAGGATCTTTCCCTTGTCTTCCCCCACGGAAGGCTTTTTGGAAAGCTACCTGAATTGTGAAACTTGCAAAGATTAGCTGTGAATGAAGAAGTCGGCTTGGTTTTCTGGTACATAAGCTAAGGTTTTGGGTAGCCAGTGTCATACTGCTTGTTGGTCAGCATATGTGTGTGAGTGTGTATCCGTCCCCATCTCCTAACACGGCCCACCTTGAAGCGAGTAGAAAGTGAAGAGGAGCACGCCAAGGATAAGCTTGAGAGGAGTTCACAAGCAAGGCTGAAGCAATCATGCAGTCGGACGACCTCTTCATCCGCAAGTTCCGCCGACAGAGTCCCAGGCCCCCCGTAGCATCGGTCAGCTTCGACCCCAAGCGTGACAGCGGTGTTCGGACACGGGTAGCTGAGTGGCCTCCCAGAAAAGATGAGGATGCGCCGGATGGAGAGAGCCTGACAACTAGCCGGATTGGGTTGAACCTACGAGCCTTGGGCCGGGGTCACATCATGCAGAGGAGCAACAGTGACGTCACGCTCGGGGATCTGGACTCCTCAGCTAAAGGAGCAGGGAAGGTAGCCAGAGCAGGAGCTGAAAAGGCTGGGTCAGGAGATGCCAGGGTGCTGGGGGACCCTGGGATGGCACTGCACAGGGAGTACGGCAGCCTCTCCTCCCTGGAGCGGCAGACACAAGCCCAAGCACCCAGCAGTGAGGATCAAGGTCCACTTAGCCCTGCTTCTCTACACTTCAAGGACCCTTTCCTTCTTCTCGGGCTGCAGAATTCCGCCCCGGATCCTGAAGGCTTTTTCCGGGGGCTTTCCACCCCTGCTGTGGTGGACACCACAAAACCGGTCAAGCCTCCTAAGCCGGAGGTGCAAAGCAAGAAGTCTAAACCCACCCCTCCTCTGGTCCCCCAGACAGTTCCTGTTGACAACCTGGGAGGAGGTGCCTGGGTGCGCAACTTTGCGCACTATGATGTGCAGAGCATCCTGTTTGACCTGCAGGAAGTGGCGTCGAGCAGAGACAGCATCGGCCGCAAAAAGAACATCACCTCAGGGGCTTCAGCAGCCTCCCAGTTGCGACCCCCGACCCTGGGGGGCCCTCCCTCACCCTCTCTAGGAGGGAGTGGAGCTGGCAGCGCCGATGACCCAGAGCAGTTGCTGCTGCCACTTGATGAGGGCGACGGCAACGGCAATGACCTGCTCCTCAGCTGTCCACACTTCCGGAACGAGATGGGTGGCGAGGAACGGGCAGGCCTTGGGCGGGCACGAGAGCCAGGGGGACTGCGGCCAAGCCTGCAGTGCCCCAACGATGCCGTCTCTGTCCTGGAAGAGCCTAAGGAGAGCCATGTGCAACAACAGGGCAAGAGCAACTTCTTCATTGAGTTTGCTGACCTGGGAGCCCACTATTACCGCAAGTACTTCTACATGAAAGGTAAGACATGCATCCCTTTATGGTTCATTCTCACATTGTCTCTTTTTGCGTCATTGACTTCACACTCTAGAATCTGGTTGACTTTGTATCAGGAAGCATACAAACTACTGCTTCTCCAAAAAGACATCCCTGCCAGGGCTTATATACATGTCACAGGACTATAGAATATGAGGAAGACAGGCAACCATCCTTCTCCTCAGTTGTGACAGGGCCACAGGACAGAAGGTTAATTAGCCCAGTAGCACATGACTGTTAAGCATGTTGCAGGTGAGGTGTAAGTAAAGCTTGACCACCTCCTGCAGGAGGAAGAATCATCTCTCTCTCTCTGCCGCTGGTCTTGCCAAGTAGGTCTGTCCCTTGAGCTTGTTCTCACTGCTTTTGTCCTTCATGCCCCGTGTCTTTGAGATCCCGTGATTCTTCTTATGGCCATTAGTGAAAATGAGAAGCAGAAGGAACAGGATAAGAGATCCTGTCGGTAAATTGATGTATGAACTATTATCCCATTTTCCCTTGATCGATGCTCCTGAAATGACTGTCGTTAATAAACCTCTGACCCTTATTTACAGACCACCAGAATTTCTTTGGCATGGATGACCGCCTTGGACCGGTGGCCATCAGTTTCCGCCGGGAGGAGAAAGAAGGTTCCAGTGGTGCCCAGTATAATTACAGGATCATCTTTCGTACCACAGAGGTACCAGTTATACCTACTTGTAGAGGTGGACATGACTAACACAACTGTAGGACATAAATGACGCAATTACCAAACCACCCCAATAGTAAAACCGTCTTGCTCCCTATTCAGCTGAAGACCCTCAGGGGATCAGTCCTGGAGGAATCGGTGTCCTCGGCTGCTCGCCACACCACCCCTCGTGGCCTCTCCCCCAAGCGGCTGCTGGAGCACATTATCCCAGAGCTGAACCTGCATTGTCTGCGGCTGGCCTCCACCTCGCCCAAGGTCCGGGACACCTTGCTGAAGCTGGACGAGCAGGGGGTGAGTCTAACCGGCCGCTCCTGAGGGACAAGGATGAAAGCAGGGAGCCATGGCAGAGACGTATAATAGGTGACTGTACCTATACTGCCAGTCCAGATGTCACAAGGCAGAGTCCCCACAATGGCGAATAAGCACAGCCTCTCTGCCCCCCCCTCCAGCTGAATTTCCAGAGGAAGGTGGGGGTGATGTATTGCCGGGCCAGCCAAAGCTCTGAGGAAGATATGTACAACAACGAGAACGCTGGACCCGCCTTCGAGGAGTTCCTGGACCTGCTGGGCGAGCGCGTTCGTCTGCGAGGCTTCGAGAAGTACCGGGCCCAGCTTGACACCAAGAGTCAGTGCCCTCACTCGAGCATACCCTCTCACATCGACCCCCTACCTTCGTCTCAGCGCCCCCCAAAAACACGGCCTATGTTTTTATCTGTGCAGCGGACTCCACGGGCACCCACTCCCTGTACACCCGGTACCAGGACTACGAGATCATGTTCCACGTGTCCACCATGCTCCCGTACACAGCCAACAACACCCAGCAGGTACGGAGATGGTCTGATGTTATGGTTCTGAGTGCCACCCTCAGAAATTGTGCCCAGATAACCTTTGTGCATTTGACTCGTATACCAGGCCAACCCATGTTATACCACTGTGATCTTTGTGCATAGCAGTGGCGGTTTTTTGACATAGAAATGTGCTGTAATTGTATTTGAAAGTCAATATATGAGGCCTGAGTGACAGAGACAACATTGGGGACTGAAAGAGAAAACCAGCAACTGCTTTCATCCCATTCCCCTCCCTGTACATCTACCTCGCAGCTACTGAGGAAGAGGCACATCGGCAACGACATCGTGACCATCGTCTTCCAGGAGCCCGGCGCCCTGCCCTTCACACCCAGAGCCATCCGATCCCACTTCCAGCATGTGTTCATCGTCGTCCAGGTCCACCACCCATGCACTGACCGCACCTACTATAGGTAGCTTCTCCTGGAACTGGTCACACGTCCACGTTACAAAGACAAGCTGTCATTATTTTGTAGTGTCTTAAATTACAGCCATCACTGTTTATTCCTCATGTTTTATGTCAGGAAAGTGTGTGTCACATGTGTTACAGTCTTATTCCTCCCTGTGTCTCTCTGGCTTGTGTACGCTGTGCTTCAGGGTGGCCGTGACACGCTCCAAGGACATTCCGCTGTTTGGGCCGCTGTTCCCGAAGGGGGCACGCTTCCCTCGCTCCACGGCATTCCGGGACTTCCTGCTGGCCAAGGCCGTGAATGCGGAGAACGCTGCTGAGAAGTCCGAGAAGTTCCGCTCCATGGCCATGCGTACGCGGCAGGAGTACTTGAAGGACCTGGCAGAGAACTACGTCACCACCACGCCCATCGACTCCTCCACCAAGTTCCCCTTGCTCTCGCTGGGTGGCAAGCGCAAGGACAAGCTGAAGGGAGCCAAGGGGGCGGAGCTGCACAGTGCCGGGGCCCTGGTGTGGGCAGTGACGGCACAGGGGGACGGCATCCTTGGGCAGAGCTCGCCCTGTCTGCTGGGCGTGTCCGCCGAGTCAGTGGTGCTAATCGAGAGGTGCACCCGAAGGGTGGTCTTCAACTGCTGCTGCCGTGACGTGATTGGCTGGAAGGCGATGATGGATGGCGGCGGTAGGGGCGGGGCTAGTCTCGATATCTTCTACGAGAGGGGGGAAGTTGTGTCGGTCAGCGTCCCTGAGAGCCAAACAGAGGACATTCGGGAGGTGGTGCAGAGGCTCGAGGTGAGCGGAGTGTCGCTTCTATTGTATTTTTCGATGTTTCCGCTTTTACATAACCCTGTCAATGGCCGCCTGAAGGGCTGCTTCATTACTTTATATCCCCCTTAATGCCGTGTGACTTGAATACGTGCCCAACCCACAGATAGTGACCAGAGGCTGCGAGGCGAGGGAGGTGATGCCGCTGCGTGACGGAGCAGGGCAGCCCGGCTTCTCTCTGAGTGAGGAAGGCTTTGTGACGGACCTCCAGCGGTTTGGCTACGCCGACAGCGGGGGCCTGCAGCTGGCCGACCGGGTGGTGCGGCTGTGCGGCCAGCCGCTGGTGTCCCTGGAGGCAGAGGCCAGGGTGTGCCTACTGCGATCCGCCCCCAAAATCCAGCTCACTGTCATCCCGCCGGATGAGAACGGCAAGCCGCGCAGGTGAGACAGCATGAGGCGGGATGGGGAGGCGGTCGCCATGGCAACACAATACGGGCAACTGCACACACCCCCCCCCAGGCAGATAGCTGTTTGTTTTTATCAGCCAGTGTGCCAACAGGCATGTGATTTATGATATTTATGAGGAGAAAATATGTAATTCCATATTCTTCCGCTGTCGGGTGGACGGATTTGTTCACAATATGGCGGGAACAAAAGCAGAAATTTCATGTGAAGGAGCGTGACAATAATAATCCTGCCTGATTTCCATATTTTGAAATAATCGTAAGGCTAATACAATATGATAGTGTTGGCTTGACATAATGCAGGGCTGAATACAAGTGGATAACACCTTCCACTTAAAAATCCCTCTTTCCGGCGCTGACAGGACACTCTTTCAACCTCTTTAACGTCCGTTTAAAAACATAAACGTTGTTTGAGACCCAATCCCACAAGCGGAGCCATAAGTGACTGACAAGTGCGGAACAATTAACCTCCTCTGTAAAATTTCATTCAGGTTTCTGCATATTATTGAGTCATTTTTATGGTTAAGGTAATATTATAATCCCACAAAAACAAGCACTCCTCCTCAAGCAAGCAGCGGCTGGGTTTATTTTAATTCTCGGTATGATTGAAATCTGCTTTGAACTGTCATTCAGAGGTGACTGCTGTTTATAGACACGTTGACTTTCAACTGGTCTGAACCGGCTGCTTCTTTATTTCCGGAATTACTTTGAAGCAGGGACTATTAACCATTTAATTCGTTTGCACTTGACAACAAAAATAAATCAGCACATTTCAGTGAAGAGGTGCAGTTAGGACGAGAATGTAAAATGTAAATGAGCTGTTTTTTTAACATGCTGATTGGGTAATTTCTAGAGATTGACAGGCAGGGTAGCCAATTGGTATTATTGGTGTCCAGTGCGGTGCTGGATTCCTGGTGATTCCACACTCACGGCTGATTCCGGCTCCCTGTCCGGGCCGCAGGAGCTTTTCCGAGCTGTATCAAAAGGCCATCCAGGATGCAGAGCGCAAGGCGGGGGAGGAGCCGACCGGGGAGGCCTGGGTGCTGGACGAGAGGGAGGATGAGGAGGAGGAGGAGGAGGAGGAGGAGCAGGAGGAGGAAGGGGTGGAGGGTGAGAAAGGGGATGCGGAGCCTCCCGAAAGCAGGGACGACCCACCTGTGGCGACAGCACCAGAGGATGGACAGCGGGGATCCCGACCATCCTCTCCAAGCCTCCCCCTTGTACAGACCACCTCGCTCCAGGACCAGCCCACCACCGAGACCCTGGAAGTCAGTACCTCCCCACCATCACGCAGCTGCTCCCAGGAGAGGCACGGCACTTACCAGGACTCTGGCGATGGGTACGCCGGCTCCACTATTATGACAGATGCTTGTAGCTTGACATCAGAGCCAGTCAACCGATTAGCTGACATTGGTGGCCACTTAGGATGCCATCTTCTGAGGGGGTGCTGACTTAGCAAGCCAATCTCACTTTGTCTTAGATGGGGGGCGCCAGCAGTGAAGCTTGCCTAGGGCACCACATGGGCTTCAACCGGTACTGATTAACATCATGCTAAGAGCTGCTCATGTAGCATTGAAGTTTGCACTTTTAACACTTCAAGGGCTTCCTCTTCGGCAGCGACCAATCGTCTGTGTCCTTCTCCACCTGGCAGGCCAATGAGCGAAGACGTGGACATGGGGGCGGATGAGCCAGCCTACGAGAATGTTACGGAGCTACGCGACGCCACGCCCGACCTCATCTTGGCGGCCAAACCCAAGGTGCCACTAGACAGCCAGGAGCAGCAGATGCAGGTATGAGCGGAGTCCCCCCCCCCTCCCCCCACCACCATCTGTGACTCCTTTAATGATCACGTTCTGGGGTACATTTCCCAAAGCAAAGTTGCTAACAAGATTAGCAACTTACCTAGTTGCAGCCATGCAACTGAACGGTTCCTACTCTGTAGCTTGCTAATGGGAGGTTTTGGGAAACCCCTGGTTGGGTCTTAAAGGACTCCGTCGGGGAAGTAGGGGGATCCCTGTCTGGTTACACCAGTGTTTCTCAACCCAGTCCTCAGGGAACCCCAGCCATTCGGTGTTCCTGATTGGCTGGGAGCTGGGAGGGAGCAAAAATGTGGACTGGCTGGGGTTCCCTGAGGACTGGGTTGAGAAACACTGGGTTGAGAAACACTGGGTTGAGAAACACTGGGTTGAGAAACACTGGGTTACACTAATGCTGGTTTACTGAGAATAACTGTAGTTGTTATAGTGGCCGAAGTGGCTTCTGAGAAGTGAAGTGAAATGCCACTGACTTTCTATCAGATGTAGAACGTCTTATCACATGCACTGAGGCAGGCATTAAGTTCAGAGGCAGGTTAAAATGTGATTCATGCTCTACATGTCATTTGATAAATGCTCCTGTCTGTGGCAGTATGTCATACGAAATCTACCTAGAGATGCCAACACTGATCCACCTGATTCTGCCAAAAGAATAGTGTTGTAACGGTCGTGGGAACCCTCATCGAAAGTTCTGGAAGCAGCAGGGTACTCTATGAATGGAGGTGAAAATACGGTCTGTGGCAGCCTGCCTGGACACTTACTTCTTCATTTTTTGCAGTCTGTAGGGCTGGAGGATCTACCCTCGTCCAGCGACCCCTCCCAGTCCCCAGGAGGGCTCACTGGCCCGGATAGAGCCGACCGCAACTCCCGGGCCCTGAGCCTACACAACTCCATCACCAAGAGTATGGGCCGTCTACGAGTCCCCAGTTACACCTATAAGCACCTCTCTGCATTAACACCGCAAACCCAACATGACATGATGAGATCAGAGCTAACCACCAACTTAAAGGGTTAAAAATTCAAGATTAGAGAATATACTGGACTTCCAGTTTTGTCACATGTAGTCAAGGGTTTTTGTTTTTTTTTTGGAAAACCCTCTTGTATAGCACGAAATGTTGAGCTCAAACAACAGTCCATACACCCGTCTTCCATAGCCTCTTATTAAGTGAGTTCTCCTAAATACTCTTGAGGGTCTGGCCAAGCCTGGAGTCTATCCCAGACTGTAGAGTGTGTAAGACAGGGGACACCCTAGTCTGGATGCCATTTGAACAACAGTCATTCAATAAAATCATTTAATAGTGACTGTACATCAAAAAATTGGCAGTGGTGAATAAAAAGCTGTAGTGTTCCATTATCGAACATTGAAGAGACTCTTTTAGATGCTGTTAGACAGCTCTTAAACAGGTTGGCGACTGACCATCTCTTTAGTGCGGTTGTCTCCTAATCTATGCATTCTTCTATTTTTTAATTGCCTGTCCTCTCCGTCTCAAAAGCCAGTACCTCTAACCACCAGCTCTCATCACCCCCTACCATTTCCAACCACCCTGAGTAAGAGGGAGACAGATGGGGGGGGGGGTGACAGCCCCCAAACCCCAACGTCCTTTCAGCCATCTGGCCCCCTTACCCTTTGAATTGATCAGTCACACCGGATGGCCAGTGGTTATTATGATTCTCATTACTTTCACCGCCTACTGTTCTACATGACGCTCGTTGAATCTTCCACGCCAAAGAAAATCGGGTTAACCATCGTGCTCAAGATCCCCGCGGTTGAGCCCTTCCTGGCACTTGCTTTTGGCACCAAGTCGCGGTTTTTATCTGCTCCCTGTGTACGTTAACGTTCCTGTGTTAAGTCTCCATAATGTTAATCACTGTAGTGGAAGTGCAGTTCTAATAGATTTGAGCTGATTCCAAATAGCTACTTAGGCAACTAAACTGAACCAGTGGTTTGGGCTACAAAGTGCAGCTTGTACTGATTTAAAGTTGTTCACAGTAGCACTCAGTATTCCTAAAGATACAGTTGATTCTTATTTATTTTATTTATATCGACCCAGCCATAGAGATGAAGTTGCGTTAAGGTTACCGCTAGTGCCCTCTGGTGGTGGGACCATGTTACACTTAAACATTGCTACATTTGACAACCCATTTTTGTGTCCTTTACAGTACTTCACACAAACATTACAGCACTCATTAATGGATTTGTATGATGCACTCTTTCTCAGTCCTGTCGGAGACGAGTGAAACCTCTGGGAAAGACTGGCAATCCATCGCGGATTTGGCCACAGCCTGTCGGAGTATCCTGGAGGCCTTGTCCCGAGAAGGTAACGGTGCAGAAGACGTGGGGGGGGGAACAATCGTTCTGCCCGAGCGAGTCTATTTTTATGTTCGGCTCTGATGTTGTAGAAGTGTGCAAAGCTACCCCCCTGTGTGATACGATTCGTAAATACATCACACGTCAGACCTTCTCATAGGCAGCGTTTAGCAGTGTTGATCTCCACGGGGAAGCTAATTGGCTAACGACACCGTCACCTGGAGGCTGCATCGTGCTCATTGGTCAAGAGCAACCACATACTGAGCCAATAAATGCCAGAGAATAATCATGAGGCTTTCGTGTCCGGGAGTCGAGCGGAGACAAGGAGAACGAATAAAACAGTTCAAGGTGTCCAGGACCGCTGGGATTACTGAAAAATTAAACCCAGTTCATGTCCCCCTTCCAACTGAATTCAATTAAACTACAAGGAAAGGACACTGTGTGCTGTCTCCTCTACCTAGCTAACAGAAGGTTTTTCTCCTATACCATTAATGCAAACAGAAGCTGAGAAAAATAAAATTATACAGGGAAGACATTCTAGCAGGTTCTCTGCAGGGGGGGAAAAAACAGAGAAAATCAAACCTTTAGATATTAAAGCATTATGCGAAACGCAAAAGGGGTGTTATAATTCAGAAGTGAGTCCTGGCATATAACCCAATCTTATCTGTTCTTCCTTGTGGAATTTTTTTTAATGCGCAATATAAATTACTGGAGGATTTTGAGAATTTCCCTGACTCTCTAGAGGCACAAGCTGTGAAAACGAAGATTCTGTGCTAAATGTAAATTTATTTAAAAATTAATCACTGAGTGATAAATGTAATAAGGCTCCTAACTTCCTCGAAGGCAGGAAAAACATTATTCGGACCTTTATTAGAGCATTTTTCTCGATAGCGTTCAGGTACTGTTCCATAGCTTAAACGTCCACGGGTCACATGATGCACAAAAAAGATCTCTGAGGGTGATGCCGGGTGAAGGTAATTAGCTAACGTGATGTTCCAGATCGTAAAACAGACGGCCCAGGGCCTGCGGAGGGCGCTAATGTTCCAGGACAGATGGAGGCTAAGCTGAGAGACATAAAGGAGAGGTGAGTCTTCTCATTGGCACATTTTGCAGTAGGTTCTGACCCACGTGAATCCTTGGGCTATTTGCTGCTTATTAACTCATTTCAGGAAATCTATCTTCTTCTTGTCCACGTATTAATTTGTGTTTCTCCTGAATTATGGTTTATTCGTTCCTCCATCCTTTCTTTTACCTTTCTCATTCTTTCTCCCTCCTTCTGTCTAGCAGTGATTCCCCAGGACATCTGGAGGAAAAGGTTTCCCAGCTAGAAGCCATGCTGAAGAGACTTCAAGAAGACCTGCAGAAGGTAACAGGCTTCGTGGTTCTTCAGCCTCAGGATGGGGGACTGTTGACGAGATTTTTTATGGTGAGGGTATAAAAGAGCCCGACCTTATCATTAGCCAATGAAATGTTTTGAATCTGTGAGTAACAGGGAAGCGGAGACTCCTGTGGCCAATCAGCTTTCAGCTGGGGGCAGTGCACCTGTGGTCCCGCCCCTGCATATGCCCCAGCCTCAGGTCATTCTGCTTACCAATAGCAATTAAGCAGGAAATCGGAGAGTGAGGCGCGGTTCCCAACACACCTCGCAGACGCGCCTCTCACGACCGCAGACGCGAAATCCGAAGTGTCATAAGATGAGTTATTGGGTCTCTTTATGTGGGTTCATTTGCCTTTATATGCCCCTAATGGATTTCGGTGACTTTTTGAATTGCATGCAACCATATATATATGATGTAATATCGTTATCGAGCTGAATTGGAAAAAAACGGAGCCTCGCAGAAGCTGTGGAGGAAGTCATCGCGCAGGCTGCCTCTGCAAATATGAAATAAGCGAACCGTCAAATTACATTATTAATCTTCCTTCCGCTGGAACATTTGTTTTCCCTTATATCCAAGCCTGCGAACGGATATGGAGTCTAATTTAATGGCGGACAGTTGTGTGTGCTCGAGCAGTAACCGCTATGTTGGTTCACCTTCTGATTCACGTGCCATCGGCCGTTTCGTCAATCCCGGCGATTAACCTTGCATTACAGCACATATGGTGCATGCCTTTCATAATGCATTTTACATTTCCATTTGTCAAACCCACCCCAAGTGACAAATGTAATATCAGTCCGACATTTGATGGAACCATAATGTGCTTTGTTGAATTGGGGATTAAGAGGTGATTTGTGGAGGTACCAAGAAGCCGATTGGGGATCTTGTAGTTGGGTGGACCCAGAAGGACGAGGCAGAAATGTACTCTGTGTCGCGAGTCACTTTACCCGGCTTATTTCTGTCCTTTATTTGTATGTGGATTTATTCGCCTGAATAATTTCCCCTTTCTTCGTCTTGCGGCTGTGGTTTCCATTAGACAGTTTGCATAAATTTCGATTTCGAGATGCAGGCCGAGAGGAAAGAGGTGTTTCTGAATGATTCTCCTGGCCTTCATCCTGCCAGCACCAGGGATCAAAACAGTAGCCGGCTGATGCGTTTTGCGCTCCCCCCCCCCGGGACATAAACGGCAGATGAATCCTAGTGGCGTCCGTCCGTCACCCCGAGACCTACTTAACGTACATTTGCCAATTACGCTCCGTCGGCTAGCCCAAGGCAGGCCGCGAGGCCGTCAGCTGGCATTTTTTCTGTTTTTCATTCATTCCCTGTGGAGAAAGATAAAGCGTGCAACCTGTGTGTGTGTGGGGGGGGGATCTTGCACATCTCGGCGACAGATGTACACTACTGGTCTCAAGTGTTTGTACACCACAGGTTTTTACCATTTTTTCCCAACTATAAATGAAAATAAAACAAGATTCCTTTATAACATGGAAAGAGTATGTAACAGTGCATGTCTGACGTCCTATTAACTGGCTGTGTGGTGATGACAGATTCTAGGCCGTCCTTTAACTTGAAGTGCATTAGTTTACCATTTCATCCCATGAAACAGGGCAGCATTTAATATCCCTTGTAGAAAGAATGCCTAATTTTCTCTGCTGCTACAAGAATAATCAAAGATATGACATTTTCTTCCTAATCAAGGTACTCAAATAGAGAACATACTGTGAATTTATTTGTTAGCAAAGAATATTGAGTGTATTTTTAGTACATTTTAAGTAAGATGCAAATGTATGTATGAATATGTATTTATTGAGCATGGATGCACTTGGAGAACCGCCGCAGCAGTAAACTCCTCGTCTTCCTCAGGAAACCTTCATCTTCTATCTGTTTCTCCCACCTTGAATGGATCTTCCTTCCCCTCCAGGAGAAGGAGGACAAGGCGGTCCTCCAAGCGGAGGTGCAGAGCCTCCGACAGAACAACCAGCGGCTGCAGGAGGAGTCCCAGAGTACGGTGGCCCGGCTCATCAAGGTGACTGAGCTCCTGTGTAGCGTGAACAAGCCTTGCTAGCTTCTCCCACAGAGCCCCGCCGACAGCTCCACCAGCGCATCGTGCATCCCAAACCCCCCCAGCACCCACCCCGAAAGACTGTCAACCCCTTGACCCATGTCCGCTAACCTCTCCTCTGATTGGCTGGCTCTGCCTGACCACGGTATGCACACCCACCTTCTTTCAAAAACGGACTCCAGTGTTGCAGGACTGAGGAACTCTACAACGGGGATGCATTTGTGTGCGAGTCTGCGTGTGTCTGCGTGTGTGTGCGCGTCTGTGTGTGCGTGTGTGCGCACGTGCATGAATGTAGGTATATTTCCCAACTTCAACTTTGTCAGCAAGTTGGGCTAATTAGCAAAATGCAGAGTTTGTAGCTTTTATGTATATGGTGAGAGCATTTATTGGATAGCAATATGTTTGGTGGTTATTTTGAAATGTATATCAGATTAACTTAAAGTCTATACATTTTTTTTATATATCTGCTTCCTACAACTGGATCAAAAGTCCTCAGTATATCTCCTGCATTAGCAATAGAATCACATCTGGACACAGCTGTCTGATTCCCCTTCGAGCGATCGCTTCTGCTGCGGTATTGAGGGGTTTCTGTTCCACTCTATGCAAATCTCCCCTGAGCTGAGTCTGACCTCCTGCCCGGAATCCAGAGCAAAAGCACGTCGGACAGATTAAATTATGTCGTTAGGACGTCCTCCGCTTCACGCCCCCCCTGAGATGGTTTAGCACATAAGCCCCTTTTTCCTTGCATATACCTTTATATATCTGGCTGGTAATTTTTTTTGTTTTCAAGGTCCAACAAAAAAAGGGACTGGACCTAAGCGTGTACCGGGTCTGTGTACTGATGTCGCTCCCTGGAAGTCAGTGTGACGTTCTCACGGATTCACTCATAGACGCGGAAGGGTGTGTGCGATGAGAATGGCGGACGGCATTTAGGATTTTTGCAGCCACGACAGTAGAGAGAGAGTCTGCCTCCTGCAGGTCACATCTGTGAACGGACAAAAAATCACAATAAGCAGACCCCAGACCACTTTCCAAGTCAAGTGGGCTTTACAGTGGCACAAAATAGTGCACCCCCAGGACCACAGTACCACATACAACAGCAATGACAAGGGGAGAGTTTTCATGCTACCTTAAGTTATTGGTTTAATCCCTTCTGGAAGGCTCTGGTCATGCCGGTGACCATTCCCAAGCTGGAAAGACCATCTTCACAACGAACGGCGGCCATATTGGTTCTAACCTAACAAATTATGGCTCTGTCGCTAGCACACCACGCCCAACCAGACTACCGCGAGTGGTGAGAAGAATGCGCTCACGGCATCCTAGCCTGAGACCCAAGGTGGGTCAGATCTGAAGAACCGAAGAGAAGGAAGGACTCGTTTTCCTTGGGGACTTTAATGGGACTCGTTTATGTGATCAAGTGGGTATATAACTAAGTAGATAACCAAGTCAGAGTTTAAAGGTTAAGCTCAATTACCTCATCAGGTGAGAGTTCAGCTTGAAGGTTCCCGTCTGCCTGACACGGCGTCTCCCCCCCCCCCCCCCCCTGGATCTCCGCCGGCTGGCGAGGAAGACGTCACCTTACTGACCTCCGGAATCATGGCACCTTGAGATCTGTGTTCCTCCCTTTGATAGGAATCCCCTGCTTTCTGCTGCCAGATGAGCGAACGGGGGGGCAGTAAAATACGGGCCACTCGAGAGACCGTCCTCGTCGTCACCTCGGGGAAGCACGGCCGAGAATCGACAGGTCAGACCACCCCCCCAAACCCTCAAACCGCACGTACGGTGCCATGGGGCCACGTGAGCCAAAATTCAGGGCTTGGGTGCAGGAGACAGTGACAGGAACAACATTATTAAATGAGAATCTGCGATTAATATAATGAAAGGTTCCGGGCTTCATTCTGCAGGCAGTGGAGATGACTCTGTCAGAGTGGGATGCACTGTTTAAACACTGGGGGGCGCACCAGGCTATTTGACATACTATGAACATATGTGTTGTAAATACTTTTCTCCCGTCCTCTGGTAATTTAAAATATTATTTTATTGATTCTTATTTTATAGTCACTGTGATTACCTGGTACCAGCAGATTACAATATATTGAAATTAAATTCTATAGTATATCTATATGTACATACAAGATCATGATGTATACTGATGCTCTTTGTTACTTGATGTACACTGGAGCGTATTCATAGCAGATTATTTATGTCGATGGAATTAAATGTGCCCTAACTAGATATTTACCCTGATATCCTATTAGTCGAAGCAACGCGTCCTATAAAATTATCGTAAGTGGTCAGGAAGATGTTTCTCTCCCCCAGCCCCGTGTCGATACTTTGTGTGTGAAGTTGTTCTCAAGTGCAAAAGACACACCGGGAGACTTCTGAGGTCAGCTGTAAACGTGTGTTTGTGCAAAGAAGAGTTTTTTTCTTTCCCTAAAATCAAAAAACAAACATGGCATAAGGAGGAGCGTTGGCATGTATTCTGCATATTTGGGCCTTCTTGTCGATACTACAACAATATTTGGGATGGTGTGTTGAAAAGTCCCCTTTTTTTAAGGAAGGTTGTACCTGTTCTCCCTTTGTGCTTATTTGAGGTGTGTCATCTGTTGCTGTTTAAGGGTCAATATGCCCCAAATTGCACCTTAACGGATTAAAGATTTTAAAATAACTTTCTGAAATAACCTTGAAACTTGAAGACAGGAATGGATAACACTAATTACACAGTAAAGACAAACACGTATTTTTTTTCCCCTACGTCGTGCCTAAGTAACCATGAAATAATATTCATATTTTGCCACAGACATTTTATTTTAAGCCGGGCTTGTCGGAATAGCTGCTCCTCACTGGCTGAACGTACGTGAAGAAAGTCATGGTGTTGCTCCGGATTAGCCTTGCCCTCCAGTTCACCCTCAGACCCAACTACCCCGGGATTCATCCGGACCGGCCGGCCGTACTCCTGATCGTGCAGGTGCACCCATGCTAGGATCGAAGACGGCCCCTTCGCGATGATCACTCGACAGATGCCCCGTGACGAGACAGTTCCCGCGTCCCAGCCCACATGTAGCATCACGACGCCATTCCCGGTTTTTGCTGCAGCCTTCCAAGCGGTCAGGCATTGGGAGTTCGGATGCCGTGCGGACCAATGATTGCCAGCGCGACATCCTGGTCTGGAAAACCACACAATCTACATCAGGTGCTAATCTGAGATTCTAAACTCCACGTTCGGATTGCTTGTCACAGACTGGCCTCCACTCGCACTCTTGCTATGGGTCTCGCATACTGTACGTTTCCCTGTGTGCTTACCTTCCCTCACAACCCATGAGAAGTCACCGGAAACACCAACTGCGTCAAATTGGCTAAAAAAGACACAGGAGGAATTTGGGCCATACCTCATGGTAATATCAGTCAGGCTTGTGAGGACGGACGCGTATCTCTCTGGATTGGCTGTCTGGGTCTCTCCGTATTTGAGCGTATACGATATCTGAGGTCGTGTGCAAGAGGCGCGACGAATATGTGAAGAATGATCGGTAAGGAACAGTAAATCAATGGAGACGTTTCGTAAGGTCTGGTCAATCTGCCACAAATGTTTGCAAAGGTACAGCAAATCTGCAAAAATATTCAGTAAGACGGTGAATTTTCGGTAAGGGACTGTGAAATCTGTAAAGAATATTCGGTAAGAGATGGTGAATCTGGAAAAAAAAAACTTGGATAAGGGACAACTAATCTGTAAATAATATTCGGTAAGGGATAGTGAATCTATTAAATATTCAGTTAGAGACAGTGAATCTGCGAAGAATATTCAGTAAGTGAATGAATCTGTAAAAAATATTCGGCAAGAGACTTGAGTGTAAAAACTATTCGGTAAGAGGCAGCCAATTTGCAAAGAAAATTCGTTAATAGACAATGAATCTGTATAGAATATTCAGTGAGAAACAGTGAATCTGCAAAGAATATTTGGTAATAGACAATGAATCTGTATATCAAATTCGGTAACAGCCAGTGAATCTGTATAGAATATTCTGTAAGAGACAGTGAATCCGTGACTAAGGTTCAATATGCTACTCTGTATAGTGTTTCTCTTTGTAATTTAGTTGTACGGAGCTGCCCTTTATTTTGTGTGCTCTCCGCTACTGCAGATTGGTGTTGGTGTTCATATAGAACAGAGCTGATTGTATTTGGATCAGGGAGAAAAGATAAACCAACAAGCAGACGAAAGAGCGACAGTTTGTCCTACTTTCCTCTCCTTCGTTTACTCTCCAGTCGATCAACTCTTGTACATATATAATGGAGGACGTCTGGCAATAAAGACCTTGTCTGAACTATGACCTCCGACTCGATGTGTCTCTGAATGGAGTAATTTTGACATGGTTGCAAAATGAGCGTGCAAAGGCCGGATTATAACCTTCTGATACCCTTTAATTCTGTCCGTTGGCGTAATAGATGACATGAAAAAAAAAATTTAAACCTGCAAGCTGGTAAGTTGGTAGTTCGATGATTAAAGATATCATTTGAAGGTTGCTCTGCCAAATCCCTTAGGAAGCATTGTTGCTGTACCCTTGAGGCAGGGGTTAAACCTGAACACTTTCAAAAAGAACACCCGACTCTATAAATTACCGGTGTTCAAAAAAAATTTTGAGTAAAGGGTATTTCAGTAGTTTTTTTTTTTTTTTTTAATTTGCACGGTTGTAGGCGATTGCTTATGCACACTTGGTGCGGGCCTTCGACCTAGAGTCCCTGGGGGATTACTAAAGCCAGCGGTGGGCTGAAAGTGCATCAGAGCAGCTGAAGGAGAAGATGGTGAGGTTGTAAGGTGGGTTTACAGCTGCCAGTCCTGAGTGTGGATCCATCATCTAACCATTCAACAACCTCCTGATGAACCTAAACCGTGTCCCTGGCGCCTTAAGTGGGATGCCCGTCCATCACAGAGCAACTGCTATTACAACAGTCATAAAACCACAATGTAGTCTTCATTGCCAGGTAACATACATAAGACAAGGCCGCTGATTAACTAGATCAGTGGCCTGTACTGCGAAGCGGGGTTACTGGCTTATCGGGGTAACTTGTCGGATTTAAGGTAGTCTGGGCAAAATGTAAGTGAACGAATATGAAGTCCATTTAAACTGCGGTACCTTAAATCCGACAAGTTACCCCAATAAGCCAGTAACCCCGCTTCGTAGTACAGGCCACTGGGCTATTCAAATCATAGTCCCCGAGGTCTGTCAGAGTACTGCTGTTTTTCCAGCCTTACTTTACCTGTGAGCCAGGTGTGAAGCGTCTGGCCAATCAGAGTCACTGATTATTAAACTGACTACCTGTGAGAACTGAAAACAAGGCCTGGATTTGGCATTAAGGGCCAGATTGGAAAAGCCCTGCACAAGTTGAACTTTTAAATGTTATTCCTAGGCAGCCTGTAAATTAAAATGATACCGATAGAGGTAACTAGATATAGCAAGACAAATAAAATACATGTGTATGAATGTTTCCTGTATAGAAGGTCTTCTGCAAACACTGTTTTACCATTGTGTGATGCAGCAAATGAAAAATGCAAATATGCACCCAGAGCAACACATCTCCGAAAACTAATTTGTTTGCTTTTATCGCGATGCATATAAAATCAAGATGAATATATTCCTGAAGCCTAATTTGCCTGAAGAGCAATATATAACAGAGCACACAACAGCATGCAAACACTTTCCTGGAAGGCGGCCACTGGAAACCTTGACTAAACACCAGGGACAGTAGGGCTTTCTGTCTTTATGGTCTGACACCTATACAAGGTGTTATGACTTCAGTACTCGGCCGTTTTGCCTTTATATGGGTTTGGAGCGCAGCGCTGGACTGGTAGGAGTAAAGCTCGGCTCTTCAGTTTAGCGAGTTTTACTCCTCAGCGCTCTGTAAACAGAGACAGCGTCTAGGCGGAGGTTTGAACATGAGCATAGGGATCATGGATCGATCCGTGTGTCCTTTCTATAAGTAACCCGCTGAAAATCTAGCTCCTGCTCCCCAGCTCCCTGACGCCCTAACAAATAATCTTGTCCAACGTCCGGGAACGATGAGTCCGCAGCTAAAAACGGGACTAGCGTGAAAAGTCACCGCTTGTGAGCGCAGCAAAGCTGGCAGTGCCCCAGAACAGAAATGCAGTGGGAACGCGTGCTCCATTCATTGAGACAGAAAGACAAACGCAACTGGTTCTCCATATTGTTTTATTTTTAAGTTTGTTTATTCGCTTAAATAAAACGAAACCATAGAATGATCACGATGAACAAAAACTAAAGGGCAGGGTTGCCAACTTCGGTCAGCTGGCTGGCGTGAGATTTTCAATTCGAGACAAGTCTGCACACGTATTTACATGCATGTTTTATTGTCTTGTAAATAGTATGTAGGGTTTGCAAACTACTCCATCGTTAATTTTAGGTTTATAATGGAGTAGTATAAAAATGCCGTATAAGATATCTTGCTTGAGCGTGAGAATCTGAAAGCGTGAGCGTTGGCAACCCTGCTAAAAAGCACGAGATAAAATTTGAAAAGCTTCTAAATTTCAAAAGCGCTGTAATTAGTATGTAGCCAATCTGACAGCGATCACTTCGATTTTGTTTAATATTCACCTGACCCCCAGTGGGTTAACATTCTGATACATTATTTATACTTGAACAGATACAGTAAACAAGTCGAACTACGATAAGCGAAGCTTAAACACAGGCTTTCGCACGCAAGCTGGTGTGTGGCGCCCTCAGTTTTATTCATGGTGGTGTTATTATAGGACGCAGCCGACAGCTGGGAAAGGGGAGGGAGGCGAGCCGCGGATTTGACTAACGGATTTGTTTCGATATTTCTCAGTTTCTCTTCTACATCTCGGTTTTATTCACTTTATAAAAAAAAAACAGCAGTCTGAGTCTGCCTGCACAGATCGGGTACAGCATACGGTCATGCGGCTCCGTGATCGAGCGAAACACTCAGTGGGAAGAGATGCAGGACTTTATTAAAGTGGTACCATGCCTTACCAGCGGCGTAAACTCATGAGGCTTAAGGGAGGCGACTGAATCAGTGAAGAGGGGGGCGGGGGACAAAAAGTATGCTGCCGCGACAAGCATGTGCTGAAGGGAACCGAAACGGTAGCGGGATGAAGGCGATGATGAGGAAGAGGGAAGCGCGGCTCGCCCTTCGCCTCGGATGCTGCGCAGTGGCGCTCCTCGCTTTCGTCGGCTTCGCCCAACTTCTGCAAAGTGAGTAGGGCTCCCTTTTAACGCACATATTGGCGTTAAATCGCGAGTTAACGTTTATGCATTATTATTGTATTAATCAGCGTTCAGTGCTGCCATAATTATAGTATACGGTTGTATTGTTTACTTGGAAGGAACTTGTGTTATGGAGGAGGGCTTTGGAAAAACATTTTGTGCATTACTTAATCATGGGTAGTTCCTGGTGCAGGACTGCGTGCAGCTGGTGCTTGAGCTAGCGTAGTTTGATCGCTTTTTTATTATTATATCATATTAAAATATGCACGGAAGTGACGTGACTGTTATGCATGTACGCAACTTGAAGGTGCTTAATCAGTATAATTCCCATAGTGACCAATTTCATTAAGAACATGACACCTGAGGTCTGACGCTGTCACGGCAGTTTCGAGCATCCCGCCGACACCCCCGTTACAGCGACGCATCACGCTTGTAAAGCACCTTTTCAAGTGCATTTGTATTGTAATCCTTCACAAACTAAAGTTTACATAAAGTTTACTCCCAGCTTTTTTTTTCTCCAGGAACCTGTTCTCTGTCTGCTTGGAGGCAGATTAGATTAATTTCAGTTTCAGATTTCGGGTCCTGCTGCAGAGTATTTCGGGATATGAAGTATGGTTCTCGTCACTTAGAAATTCGTTTATATTTCCATTCTGGTTTTGGCGTCGCCTTTCATTCTGTGTTTAATATTTGAAACGTAAATACATACAAACTTGAAAATATATATTCAGTGGGTTAAATAACGTTAAACGTCTTCCAAATTAGGTCAAGTTTTAAAAGAATATAAACCACTTACACAGTTTTTAAAATAACATATACGAAACATTTCTAAACAATGCTGAACAAAGGTAAAATGTAGAGATATGGAAATAGACCCCCTCAAATAATGTGCTGAATATATAAATTGGTCTTCTACATCTGTGCTTCCCTGTGTAATCCAAAGCCTTGCAAAAGTTCTCTCGAGTAAGTAAATTCACTTGAAATGCTCCAGGAAAATAGCCAGATGTATGAATGCTTAAAACCTGTAAGACAGTCTGGATGAGAGGGTCAGATAATCTGTGGTGTGAATTGTTGGCCAACTGGTAGTTTAGAATCCAGGGCAGAGATCAGAGGATGGACTCTGGGCAAAGTGCTTCAGCTTTTGAGGTATTGGAAGTACTTTAGTTTTGGAAGCCATGAATCAAGCATAAGTTTTCTGGTAGATGCTACAGAACCAAGTAGGATTTAAGGTGGCAATCTAGTAGAACCAGTCTCATCATATGACTGAGATATTATCAGCTCAATAGCTTAAAATAATCATACTCTCTGTCAGGCTCCTAGTGTCCTCTTTCCTCTGCTTAGTCCTGACGGACTTGGTCTCCGTGCCCTTTGGGTGGTGCAGAGGACTAATGTTGGACCCTCCATATTGTGTGTGAATCAACCAGCAAACTGAAAGTTCTCCAGAACCTTTTAATCTATGCATCTCCACTCCTCGTCTGTTTGTGAACTGCTCAGCTTCATGGAGTTGGGTGGAGAGGTTGTAAAAGCAGATAAATCTTATGTGCATTCATATGTAAACCTCGTATTTTAAAAAAAATCTCAATTTGTATTATTTTAGGTATAGAGCTGCAAAGGTAATCGCAAGAACACTGTAGCACATAGATATGCAGATAAATATCTTTTTGTAATAAATGATAATTTTTGCTATGAACGTCCCGTATATGAAGTACACTGTACAGAGTACCGACTGTTCAAAACAGCTTTCCAAAGTACACTGGCTATAAGCTTGCATAAATAAATCCAGTGTTTCTTACCACTTATAATGACTGCAAAATATTTACAATAGCATGGAATTTTATTAGACAACTTGCATTAAGAGAATTACCTTTCAGCACCGTGAAGTCACCCTAGTGGAATGCCGGAGACTAGTTGTGTCATTATTTTTTTGGCATCCAAACAGTAAGTCAAACAGACGGGGACGCTTTTAAGAATTGAGCCATCGATGGTAATCATTACAAAGGTTACTGATGTTCGACTTGAATTTTACCATATAAGCAAATGACTTATTTAGGTATTTATTCTAATATATAAGTACCTAATATGTTTCACTTACTACTAATGTGTACTGCTGTTAATATAAAATATGAAAATGCAATGTTAAAATCATATTCGCTGAGCTGCAGGTATTTGTGGGTTTCCAATTAAGATAAAAATGTTGTGTGGGTGGGTGAGATTGGATGCTGCTCCTCTGAAGGTCGTCGGTTCAAATCCCTTGACCATGGCCTTCAACCCCAAGTTGTTCCGAGGACTGACTTTTATTTACTAAATAAATAAAAAGGTAATAGTATTGGTAGCAATTTTAGCACCTTATACCTGACAACCACAGTTTATGTTGTCTACTATATCATATTTAACTATTAACCAGTTACAAATATATATTATTGTTTGACCAATAGTAACTGTATAGTAACGTAATCAGTCGTATCAGAGGTGAATCTGTAAAAATGCAGACATTTGCCAATGTGACAAGAAGCAGATTCTAAGGAAATATACACTGCGGCTGATTCACAGAGCAGTGTGATTACAGCTGTGCATTTTACTGTGCAGAGCAATTGATCCATTTCCAAAAAGGTCAGTATTAAAACACAACTGCCCCTGGTTTAATGGCTACTTTGGTTAGCGACCAATCGCAAATATGACGGCAATAAACAATTCATTCTCTGACAGTTGCCGAATGTTGCGACCAAATTGTGTGCACTAGACAGCGACACGTGCCGTAGTCAGAGAGATCTTTGAGGCTGAATGTACGGAATGGCCTCTTCGCGAAGGTTAAAAGAAATCGAGTCTGGAAAGCTGAGGTAAAGTCACACGTAAGGCTACCGCGATCTACGCTTGGCAACCATTTCACTTAACGACCTGATTGGTTAAAACAGAATTCAGTCGGCAAATGAAGAGAGGCTGCAGAGTAATATGGAGAGAGATGCCAGAGGCTTTGTCGGGTTGGGTTCCAGACTCTGACGAGGACCGATCCAAGAAGTGACAAGAGGCACAGACCTTAGGGTGCGGACCTGGAGGGAACGGACAGAGGGGTATCTGCAGAGCAGAGCAGAGCAGGATTTCTGGTGCCATATGGTGCGAGGAGATCGAGGAGAACCTCGGGCCGGCAGCTGGTGAAGGGGAGCGAGGCATCAGGAGCTTGGGCTTCTCCTGGGAGAATTGGGGAGGCGCTGAAACAGGCCGGTGCCAGCCGTTATAAAGCCATCAGAGAGGCGGAGGATGTGCCACAGAAAGAGGAATAAACTCATCACGTTTACAGGCCGGCCATTCACTCGAGACCGCTGCAGGGGGGGCAGGAAGCGATTAAGGGACGGCTCATTGGTGGCCGTGCACTTCAGACGACGTCCGGACAAAACGAGTCATTTTAATAAAGGAGATGAGAGCTCGTTTAAAACGGACAATTTTTTCATACCATTAAAAAAAACGTAAATGAAGTACGCTACTGGAATTTATTGACACCACTGTCGCTGGCCAATCTGCGGCCACATGCGCACTGGGTCTCCCACAGTTTACGGTGCGTTTTACAGTGCAGTTTGGTTTTGTGCCATTGACCTACACGTACGCATGTCATCCTTTGACTTTTCTAACATAAGTGAGGCGATCACTGCATCACTGCAATACAGTTACCGAGGTATACCGTAATACCAGCATCCAAGCTTGGTGCATGTTCTCCCTGTGATGATGGTGTGGGTTCTCACTGAACGCTCTGATTTCCTTTCACAGAATACAAATATGCCATCCATCCATCATCTCTCCGGCGTGTCTTGGGTCTGCCCCAGGGCCTCCTCCCGGTTGAACACGCCCGAAACACCTAGATCATCATTCTAGATAGATGTCCGAACCACCTCAACTGACACCTTTCAGTACTGCAGTACAGCAAATCGGAGTCTCTAACCTGGCCACAGTATATGAGTATGCATGTGTCCTGCGATGAACGGGCTTCGCATCTAGGGGATCCCATTGCTGTGATGGGCTTTATGTTTACTGGGACCCTGTACTGGATAACTGATAACGAAACATGAATGAATGGATGAAACTTAAAAAAAATAATACATGTTCGGCCAACCAGCTCTGGTGTCCGAAGTGAGCTAACAAATAAATAAGGCTGGACAGAGACAGCGTAACAGTAAACGCCAACCAAGATGGAGCAGTGGAAGAGCATTTTCTTGCAGATGGAGATCATTACACAGAAGGCTAAACTCTCCCCATGAGAGGAAAGCCATTCAAATGCAGGATCTTAACCCAGAGGTGGCCAGTCTTATCCGCAAAGGGCCGGTGTGTATGCAGGTTTTCACTGTAACTCCCTAGGTTACTAATTAGAGGACTGATTGGCTGAAGAGTCCTCACACCTGGGTTTGATCAGCTGACCTAAAGTTTACCCCAAAAACCTGCATACACACCGGCCCTTAGTGGATAAGATTAGCCACCTCTGGGTTAACCAATGTCAGAGCAGACAGGAATATGTAATCCTGATAGGTGTGCCTGTGCCGTGGACCTCACACCATGCTTACATGTCTAATTTATTGATTTATTAATTTAACTGAATGATCAATGTAATTACAATCCGTGCATATACAGTGGTGTCTGCTGTGGTCTACGAACAATTTGTTTCGCGACCAAAAATTTCATGAGAAAAATGCATTGGGGCGCATATCCCAGCATGCCCCAGCATATCCCAGCATGCCCCGCATGCAATTGTAAATAGAAGGACCACAACAGGCACCCAACGAGCACCGAACCCAAATACACAGACGGGAAACACAAGGTTGTCAGACGCCGAACTGCAAGATGCACACACGGTGGGAGATTTACACACGCTAAATACACGCGAGGATCGGACCGGGTACACACAAGACACTGGAAACACAGGCGCGACAATAGGGAAATGTAACCATTAACATTAACAACAACAATACAAGGGTTAATGAAGAGAGTGATTTCCCTGGCAAGCAAGTCTCCATGTCTCTCTGCTCCCGACGATGCCTTGTTCCGCCGATCGCCACACTATATTGTTTTTCTTTAAAGTTTTTACTATAAAAACCAGAAAATTAATTAACAAAAATTATTATTTGGTAGGCTTGTGAACGAATTAATCGAATTTCAATGCTTTCTTATGGGAGAAATTGCCTTGGTTCGCGTACAAATTGGTTCACGACCACTTTCCTGGAACGGATTGTATTCGTGAACCGCAGGCATCACTGTATTGTAATGTCCATATTTGCAATGTCCATCTTAAACGTCTGAAATGCCTGGTTTGTGTTTCAGTATGATTTGTAGATTTGCAGGCTTACCAGTACGTGCTGGTAACTGGACCCCAACACCTTTCCTTAGTTAGTTTGGGCCAGGTTTCCATGGAAACTTTACAGAAACAGTTATTGTCGTGCTGTGTTTGACTCGTTCCCGAGTTTCGATGGCATTTCAAGCACGATTGTTTGATGTGTTGATCTCGGGGTCGTGGCTGCAGTCGGCTGTCACTGCAACGGTTGCCGGGGGGCCGGTTGGTTTGCAACGGCTAACTGCCGGCACCAAGACTGACAGGAGAATCCGTCAAACGAGAGAATGCAACGAATGACTAATTTTGTCTTGTTCTGTTTTCCTCTTCTTAATAATGACGGGCCCCTTTACAATCAACTGCTCTGTTTGTCTTTTGGCCAATTTGACTTTGTGCCTGTGATCAGATGGTTGCCAGGTCAAATCCCAGTATCGACAGAGCGGATTTGCCGTTGGACCCCTGAGAATGGCCTTTAGCCACTAATTCACTAATCTGAGGCTCTTGTGGGATTCCGATTAAGATATTTATGCTGTGTAGCTCATTGGGTCTGGATGCTATGTTGGTGAGCAGAATGTCATCAGTTCAAATCCCTTGACTACAGTCCCTAACCCCAAATCCTCCATGGACTGGCTTATCATGCTTATTCAACCGTATGTCACTTTAGATAATAACATCATGGTAAATGAATAATGGTAATGTGAATGTCCCTCTATGACTGTTTAATGGGAATTGGATAATTCCCAGTTCTGTTGAACTACACTACCAGTCAAAAGTTTTGCACACGTTACTCACTTAAAATTTACTAAAAGTACACCCGATATTCTTTGCTAACAAATAAATTTGCAGTATGTTCAGCATTTGAGTACCTTTGTTAACAGGAAAATGTCATATCTTTGATTCATCAAAGTAACCTCCTCTAGCAGTTATAACAGCAGAGAAAATCTGAGGCATTCTTTCTGCAAGGGACGTTAAATACTGCTCTGTTTCATGGGATGAAACAGGTAACTAGTGTATTTAAAGTTAAAGGACGGCCTAGAATCTGACTATACAATCACCACACAACCAGTTAATATGGTGTCAGACATGCACTGTTACATACTCTTTCCATTGAGGGAACTTGTTTTATTTGACTTATATCTTCATTTATAGTTGCTCACTCAACTTTCCAAAGCCTAACAAGAATTAAAAATGCGCAGTTTAAGAAATAATTGGAAAAGTGGTAAAAACTGTGGTGTGAAAAAACGTTTAACTGGTAGTTTAATACTTCAGTACTGTGGGAGGTAAGTGCACTATGGTAATATGAGGTTATGTCTTGTGCACTGCGAAGCCTGTTCTCTTCCTTCCTTGGATGCAAGAGGTCCTTATCCTGGTGATCATGGCTGCCATGAGGGTTAGAAGTCACGCGATCGTTAATCATGACCGATGTCCTGCACAAACTGTTCAGACAAATTTAGATGAGAAGATAGCGGGTCCACAAGGCCTTCAGGTACGGCCCCTGGATCGTCATGTCGAGCGCTGATAGACAGCAGAAACATCTGGAGACGATCCGTTGTTGATTTTGCTCTTATATAGTCATGCAATCGAAGCTTAACGAAGATATTTGTCAGGCACGTTGTGAGGGGAGGATTAGAGGCCTGTAACTATGATTATCCAGAAAGATTTCAAATTAAAATTACGTACCCACTTGTGAGTGTTAAAGCCAGACTCACGGGTGAGTATATATTCTCCTTGCGTCATATTATTAATTACGAAAAGGGAAAAAATTATATAAGTACGAACAGGAAATGCTAATGATTTGCCCAGTCTGCTTTCTCTGTACAATTGTTCGAACATACTCTACCCAACATTCAAATCATAAAACGCAGCATAAGAAAATAAGAATCTGTGTTCAGTGAGTTCTGCGGAAAAGGAGTTTTTATGCTGATTTACTGCTAAAAATAAGGCTGGAATTTCCGGTGTGAGTGTACCACTGTTGTGTTGATAATATAATATAGAATTTATGCTGCGGCGAGTCCGCTTTGCATCACTGAGTCATCGATCATTTGGTTGCCCCTATGTTCCCTTTATAAGTTTTGGAGTCGGTCTTAACTTTCCTGAGTAATTTGTTGTTTCGCTATTATTAAACACAGTGGCTGCGTCTGCGTAACGCATAAGCGCTGGGGAATCACATCGTCGGCCTGTGTTGTCTCTGTTCCTTTGCAGGGACACATTCTCGGAGCTCCAGATGGGCCGCACGCAGGCTGCTGCAGGAGGCCGAGGAGAACTGTACCCACCGGCCCCGGGATGGTGAGTTTCTGCCCGTCGGACCCCAAAGGTGTGCTCATGTGCCCAGAATGTTCTAGCCCATCTGGGGTATAGGTCACATGGTCCCAGTAGCACAGACCATAACTCCTACATTGCCTGGGAATCCTGGAAGTTCAGGCCCCATGTTCGTCGCCACTTGGGTGTCCTGAATGCCC